GCACCTAGTCAATTCCACAAATGAACTACTGTGACTTCTTAAGAAATGTGACTGGATATCATTTTTTCACATTCTCCTAGATTAAATACCTTGCATACATCAATACAATTGATTCAGAGTTTTTCTTTTTCATATGTATTACCAGAAAAAAGGGCTTGAATTGGTATATTCAAATTTTCAAAAAAAATGCACATAAATATATTTAGTTAATTGCTCCAGTGATATAGTAGAAAAGTGACAGAATGTCATTTTTTCACATTCTCATTGAGCAAACACTTTGCATGCATCAATGTAATTAATTTAAAGTTTTTCTTTTTCATATGTATTATCAGAAAATAAGGCCTATATTAGTATGTTCAAATTTTCAAAAATGCACACATAAGCATTTAGATAATTGCTCCAATGATATAATGTAACTTTTTTTAGTCACATTATTCTTTTGTCAAATACCTTGCATACATCATTTTAATTGATTTAAAGCTAATCTTTCATATGTAGTGACACAACCCATTTCCTCTCAAATCCAGCAATGTTGTTTTTGAAACATATTTTCAATCACAATAACAAAATCATCAAAAACAAACTTCATAAATATTAATTATTTACATTAAAAGGTTTAAACTAAACCTAATCACGAAATTCAAATGAAAGTGTGATGTGTGCAATGAACTATGAAGATTGGAATTGGCAAGTGAGAGATTATTCAGCTGAAAATTGATAATTACGGTTGTAACTTTAGTAATCTATGCAAAGAGAAAACTAAATCTTAAAATAACAAAATTAGGGAACTAATTAAACAAGGATTCAAAAGCATAAAAAAACCTGTAATTTTATTTGTGTATTACAAGAAGATTGTCTTGATCTTTTTTAATAGATTTCAATGTTGAAGTAATGTTGATTTTTTTTTCCAAAGCTTTGATTAATGAACGAATTTGTTGAAGATTCCATCTTTCTCCTTCAAATTTTTCCTTGATTTTTCCAGTTTGGAGGCTGGTTTTGTGGTGGATTTTTAGGTTTGAGCATATTTTGTACGTTAAAATATAACTAATTACCATTTAGGAGGTGTCTGATAGTCATTTTTATGTAAAAATATATTTTAGAATAGTAAATTGATGTGAAATGTGTGGTTGAAAAATAAGGAAAAAAATTTTATTTGCGTGTAATATTTTTTTAATAAATAATATGTGGTTGAAAAGAATAGAGAGAAAAATACATTTTTAAAAAATGGCTACCAAACGGGGCTTTAATCCAACTTTATCATGTTTTTTTCAAAATAATCCTAAAATATAGGGTATTTGTGTAAGTACCCCTTCAGAAAAATGTAATTTGGAAGAATGGGCTAATGATGAATTTAACCCAATACAATTTTAATAGGCCAAGTTCGATAAGAAGAAAATGTGATGTAATTTCCACTCTATTGGATTAATTTACTTAGGTCAATTTGATATAGTTTTAAATAGGTTAGCCACCAATTTTTTTTAAGGAAAAATTCCATATTTAAATATAACCAATTTTAAACTATAAGAAACAAGTCAGATATTATTAAATTTTACTTATAGAATAACTAATTAAAAATATTTATTATTAATTAAATATAATAGAATGATGATTCTCAAAAATTTTATAGGTTACAAAATAGGTCACAAATCAAAATTTTATAAGTCACAATTTATTTATCGTTCATAAATCAAAAAATTTATTGATCACAAATAAAAAAATTTACATGTCACAATTTATCTATCAATCATAAATCATAAATCACAAATTTTGTAAGTCGCTACTTATTTTTTGGTTACAATTGATCAAATTAATTGGTAATAAGTTATTTCTCGATCACAACTAAGTACATTGTGAGTCACGATCACACTTTTATGCCACATACTATGTATTGATCACAAATTAATCAATTTATTGGTCATAATCAACCAAAATAATCAATCACAAACACCCCTACCCTATCTTACCCAACACCACAACCACCACCTCGACCACAACCACCACGACCATTGCCATCAGCGTCGCCACAACACCACCACCACCACCACAACACCAACACTACTATCACCACCACAACACCACCAATGACAACACGCATACATAATTTCACTCTAGCAAATAGCACCAAGCGAACATCACTACCACAAAATCTGAAGTGGTGACTAAGCGACGACCACCATGAAGTCGTCTAAAAGAAGCAAACCTTATGGAGGTCAAATTTTGGTACCCTATGCGAGCGCCGCATCGACAATTTGAAATTGCCGTTGCACACAACACTCAAATTAGCATGCTATGCTACTCTGCACAGCACATCAAAGAGAGAGAGAGACAATGAGGTGTCATGGGGGGGAAGAGAGAAACGGAATGGCAACATGCGACGTGCGGGAGACAGAGAGAAATGGGACACGGTGAAGAGAGAGACATACAGCGACCCACAATAGTGTTCCATGCTGTGCAGTGACACTTGGAGGTGGTAGTCAACGGTGGCAGTGGTGGCGGCTTCTACAAGGTCGGTCCATGTGTGGAGGGAGAGGAGGAGAGAAGATGGGGCACGGTATACAGGGCCGGTCCTGTGATTTTTGGGGATTGAGGCGAACTTCATAAGTTAGGTCCCCCAAAATTAGAGTAAATGTAAAATTCAATGGTGTATTATCATGCAACATACTGCTAACTAAGGAAGGATCCAGTATTGGATTGAAGACGAGGCTAAAAAATTTCAAGTCGAACTAATGCGAGAAAAAAATTTACACATTAAAAATTGTTTTCACAAACAAAGAAAAAAAAAAGTTTTTGGGCTTGGCGCCCCCTTAATCCATCCCTGCCACTAACTTAAAACTTAATAATAAAATAACAAACAAATATATTAGAATTCTACTTCTAATGAATTTTGGAAAATGTAAAATTATTTATTTCTGAGCTTACAAAGGTTTTATCACTGTGATTTATTATTTGCATTATCATGAGGGCAAAAATTAATACTACTATTACGCAAATCCAAACGTTGAAATAGAAATCCATAAATTTCAAATTGAATAGAATAATCATTTTACGAAATAATTATTTCAATGCCCAACACTAATCAATTTCATAAAAAGCTATAAATTACTAACAAACTAGTTAAAATAACTACTGGAGTGAAACAAACATGAATCGATAAACATCCCAATTTATTTAAAGAAAGAATAAACCGACATCTTCATTGAATAATTCTAAAATCACTAATAATCCATTTCATAAGAAACCCACAAATCAGTAAAAGCAAAAGTCCACAAAATTAAGTCCCAAAATCCAATAAACCCAAAAAAAAAAAGAAAAAAAAAAAGGAAGAAAAACCTGAGGGAAGATTTCAATTTGTACCGGAACTGTACCATCTTGGGCAGCAGAAGTGAGATTATTCATTGATTCCCCACATATCAAGTAATCATCTACATAAGTCTGCCAAGAAATTTCAAATTCTATTTTTTTTTTTTATTATTTTATTTTTTTTTTGCTGTTTAATTTGTAAAACAAATGCTATTTTTTCTCTGCTAGTCTCCTTAATTTGAATTTCCTCCAATTTGAATCGAATTGAACATTTGTCAAAATCCCACTCTGCATTTGGGAGTTCAAGAAATGGCTCACCAGGTACTAGCTAGTAGCTTCCACCCACCCACCCACCTACTACCCACCCACGGAGAAAGAAGACCCAAAACACACACACGTGCACATTGCAATTAAGCTTGTTTTGTGACTTAGCTTTAGTAATGGGATTGTGTTAAATAAGAAAATCTTGAAATCTTTTTACAAATTATTTGAGATTTCTTGGTTTTTGTAGGAAGAAAGGTGGCCTTTAGGGCTACAACCACTGAATGTGAGAGTTGGGCTGGTGATCGTGATTTCAATGGCTCTATTTCTTTCAATTTCTTTCAACACTTTAATCACTGGTTTCCCCACTTCTTCCACTGATTCTTCTTCTGCTCTTGATACTCAGGTAACATTATACCCAAATGGAATTTTTTTTCATTTAATTAAAAAAAAAAAAAAATTGGCCATGGAAACGAGGCTCCATTCAGTTTTGGCCTGAGGTGTAGGCCTTATCTGCCTCGCCCCAGGACCGGCTATGCCGGTATAGAGATAAAAAGAAGAGAGGAAAAAAAATTAGGATTTGGGACAGTAAATGATAGTGGGTGGATATGTAAAATAATTTAATTTTTATAATATTATTATTAATATTTATAACCATATATTATCATCTGATTTTTATATTAAAAAAAAAAACTATACATCTGATTTTTGAAGTTAGTGCATACAAATATTTTCATTAACATTCCAACATTTTTCAACCCCGAATCCTATTTTTTCCAAGACTTAGGTTTGTTACTTTTACGAAATAATTCACTTTTTCTTAGTAAATTGTACCAATGTCAAGTTCCGACTTCGATCCCACATCTAAAATTAGCAATGACTTATCCTAACTTCATAATTTTAGATTTTATAACACATTAAAATTGATTTTTGGATTTTTGTTTTTTATTGAATTGGTTGTTTTCTATATAATTGAATGGGATATTGGACCTGTCATTTGCCAATTGAAATTGTTTGTGATTTTTATGATTGAAAATTATTGTTTAAAACAGATAACCATTCATTTATTTGTTGAATTTCAGTTGAAATAATTATAAAAAATATTTTTAAAGAAAATCTCTACTTTTGAATGAAGAACAAAATATTGGTGAAACGAGTGTTCAAAAGAAAAAGATGTTCAGGAAAAATTTAAACTTAATTTTTTACTCCACAATTAAGAATGTCTAGCTCCGCCATTGATTTCAAAATTTTGCACTCACGACGTGATTAGATGCCATAATTACACAATAACAGGAACTAACAGAGGATTGAAATGTTATCTAATGGAGGCTACTGAAAGTAAATGTAAGTTCAGTGATACGATCGCAACGAGTCGAAGCTGAATAACTTAGTTGAAATTATGAAAAGTTCAGTGACCCAAAATGGAATTAGACCTAATATAAAAGGAATTTTATGACTGCAAATAAAGGAGCATAGAATCACAGGTAAAGCACCATAATAATAACTGTATAAAAACTCAGTGGCAAACACGACATAAACCATCAAAGCCAAAATGTAGAAGGTGCATGTTGGTTAGACTACAATTTGCCTTTGTACCTATGACTACAACAATCCGGCTAAGGCAGGACTCAAGCAAGAACAAGCTAAGCCTTTATACGAGCACGTATTCTTTGAACAATAGTCTGCACCCTATTCTGCTGATGATATAGAGACAAACTCGATAAAATAGCAGCATTTCTAGCAGTTTCATCGTTCGAAGTTTCAGATACTTTAAATAAAGGTGCCAACTCTGGAAGAAAATCAATGCCTGCCAAATGCTGCGCCCATTTGTATGGCCGTGAAGTTCTCCTTTCTTGAAACGAGTAACAATCGCCGATCATTAGCTTTGCCGACTGCTTAACATTGCACAAATGTATAGTAAAATGGTAATGAATAATAATTTATAATCATCAGTAACATAATTTTAAAATTGAACCTGTCGAGGGAGCTCAAGGCCGTTATCATCAGTGAATAAGTTGCACAAGATATTATTCTCAGGACCTTCTTCAGAATCCTTGACTCCTACGCACGCGACATTCAATTTTATCAAGTATTCAAACTCCAAAACAATAAGTTCTTTAGAGTTTGAATCTACAGCGACATCATCATTTATGTGGAGAGCAATTTTAAGTGGATGAGCTTCATATATTCCTGACTGGTCAAGATTTTCCCTCCTTGAACTGTTCTTCAATCGCTTACTCCTTTGACCCTCATCTTCGCCATCAGGCACGTCACCTGAATTAGAATCCTCTGATTTTGTTGATATCCCTGTTTAATAATAGTGAATGTTAATAGATAAGATAGAGGTTACCAGAGAGAGCACATATGCAGTAAGACGGGGGAAAAAATAGAATTGTCTGGCACTTGTCCCATTCTATAAAATATAGTCACGTTTGTTCGTGCTAGAAAAATAATGTCCTCAACTCTCATTCCAAATCATATTGATTAGTACCATAGATGTGTCCAATAGTCTATTGAGAAGCAGCTGACACGTCCGAAGTTTTGACTTGACATCTAATTTTTTGACATGGTAAAGACAATGTTGAACATGTTCCTTGAGGGTTCCTGAAATAGTTTCGGAGCCCAACACATACCTGACATGGATATGCAGCCTTCTTGAGAATTGAGGGGCTCAGGCTGCTTAGCTTCATTATAGGCTTTTTAGCTATCAGATTCTTAAATTGAATCTGTAGGATTTGACATTTTCCTCCTTGTTCTCTTTAATCTTATGAATAGTTTTATACTTTGTATACAAAGACAAAATAGTAATGCTCGATCAAGTAAACAATAATTGGTGGAGAGAACTAGCACATACATAAATATAGAACTTACACACAGATAATACAGCAGGCATGTGTACATATATAATATATGCATTAACTTTTACCGTGTCCTAACATACCATATCCTACAACTTTTGATAATGCTATGTACCTGTGACCTGGCAGTAAACTTCAGCATCCCATATCATGTCTCTGCTAATTAGGTAAGAACTAATCTATTTGTGCTCAAATTTCAGTGAAACCTCTCATAAGTAGTCATTTTTGGTATCTTTAAGCAAAAGCAACTAAGAATATGCTATTGAACATTTTTCTTTTAGAATGAAATAAAATTTTATAATATAAACCATGGTAAGGTATAATCATCGGTTCACTACTCCCCCAATAAAGGATAGTCCCAACAGTAAGGGCCAAGTAAATTCCAAGTGCTTCACAACCAAAAACCACATAACTTCTGACAATGTATACCAAGATAAATGAGATAAAATGTGAACCATCAAAAGAGGAGTATTCTCGTTTATACTTCATGAAACAACACCACGTAATCTAAAACCATAAGTATTAGGCCCCTGTTTGGTGTTGATTTAAATCAAATTTTAATCTAAGTCAAAGTCAAACAATCAAAATTAACCATATATTTCATGATCCCACAACTTTTCAACCACACATTTCAAAAAATTTTATCAAAATCTACTAAAAATTTAATTCTAATCCCCACCAAACAGGGGCTATAGATGATAAATAGGTATTTTCAGTTACCAGTGGATTTGTTTGCTAGCTGGCAAGCAATATCTTGCGCATCCTTCAAGCTTCCTATAAGCTCCAGGTCAATATTCTCTCCAAAAGTTTCCTTTAAAGTAAGCAACTGAGAGTAAATTACATAAAGAGGAGGTGGAAGCAATTCAGCTAATTGCTGCTGCTTTAGTTTCTTCATGTGCAAAACCCCTAATTGTTGCTGCACCGGCAAGGATGCCTTTTTTAGAGATTTGAGGTGAGGAGGGAGACTTGATAAGAACTTCTTCCTGTGAGCAACAGTCTCTTGTAGAGCTTTCTTTCTTTGTTCTAATTTCTTGCGGTGTTTGCATAATTCTTTACGCTGAGACAAAACATATGTGGTAAGCACGAGCATGCACACGCACGCACAGTGAGAGAGAGAGAGAGAGAGAGAGCTCTTGCCCAAAATATAGCATATCTACATTCAATATATTCAAACATAAACAGATGAAAGATTGAGCAAGTACATGGGTAGTACACAACAGAGCGTGAATGCATCAAGGTAAAATATCCTGACATCAATATCCTGACATGAGTTAAGAAACAGAGCTTGAATGCATCAAGGTAAATTCTACACATGCCAGTATAATCACGTGATTTTTACCCCCAGAAACACTAGAATGGGAAGCCCAGTTCAATGAATGCTTTAAGATTTACTTCCTCATTAAAAGTGAAACTCAAGGAAATAATTTTCTCCAGGACAGTTCAAAATATGCAGCAAACCTCAATGCATCGAGGTAGTAGTCATGAAGGACAAGGGTCAACTTTTCGGCAGCTACAGAAAATCCATTTAACATCACTTCTTTTGCAGACATAACAAGTATTTTTTTTCTCCCACAAGCATACAGAACAAATCGATTGCTAGCTACAACCTCCATCCAAAATTCTACAGTAATAAGAACCACGTTACACATTAATGTATTAATATCCAACAAAAGATACCTAATATACAAATATGTCACTGATGAATAAGGCATCATATTTAATTTCAAGTGATATTCATGTGGCAGGTAAAAACTCACTGAGGCTGCAAGGGCAGAACCACATTCAGGGTCAAGATTAGAGATTTTTCCTGTCAGTGATGTTGCGAAAAATAAATGAACAAGTAAGAAGCCTCTCAACTCAGAAAAAAGTCATTGCTGAGATTGGAATCCTTCCATTAAGTTCTGCTGCTTTTCATAAAATTCAGGGTAGAAGGTATTTCTTGGTAATTTTCTGAATTTGCAGTAATTTCAGCCCTTGAGTATTACATTAGGATTTATTGATGTTTTAAGTCCTCAATAATCAAGAATTTTTCGTATAATTAATTAAATACTAGTTTTCCACAGAAATCCATTTTAAAAGAGATATGCCACATATGTTGATGGATTTTTTCATTTCTCTCTTGGGGGATGGGTTATTTGGGTGGTGGGGTGTTGGTGGTGGGGATGTTGTAAACTAAATTTCTCTTTTTTTAAAAATTCAATCACATATACATGAATTTTTAGGTACAAGAGTAAGTACATGTACTATTGCAGAGAGAAGAATGTATTAATTTTCAAATGCATGTACTTAGTTAGGTTCGTAATTTGGAAAGCTTATAAATACCTTCATAACCAAGTGATCATTAGAATTTTGAAGAGACTTTCTGATAAGGACATCCATTTATATTATTTTCTATTTGAACTCTTATCTATGTTTTGGACTCTCTTTTATATTTATGTTACTGGACTTGTACAATGGGTTCGGCCCAAGTCCACTCTCTTTAGGGTTTGGTTTTACTATTTATATTAGATTCGTTGTGTAATTGGAATAGATGATGATTGAATAAAAATAATGGTGACTAGTTGTGCACTTTTTCTCTTTTCCTTCATTCTTTTCTCCTCCTACTTCTACTATTTCTTATTCTGCCTCACCTACCTCTGATTTCTTCTTCATTGTTGAATTGTTTATCATATTCCATTGGGCATTTCTATTGGTTCTACATCAAGTTTGGTATCAGAGACGAAGCTTGAGTAATTTTTCTCCTACAATCCAAAATTTCTTCCTACCCTTTTCCCAAAAACTTGTCGAGCAATACAAACAAAAAGAATTTTTTGTAAAGGCGGCAGTTTTCTCTCTCAGTTGGAAAAAAGGTTACAGTTCACACCATGAAATTCAATTTTAGTATTTTCATCAGTTTCTTAAAAAATTTAAAAAAATAAAAAATAAATAAAAAAATAACAGGAGTCGCGTTCTGTTTTTACTGCCAAGCAAGTGTTGTGCAGCTAGACAAACCCTAAACTACCAAGTCCAAACCAAACCCAATTAGCTCCCATCCAATTATCCATAAATCTCCAAGCCCAAGATCCATCCCCATATCACAAATAGCCCAAACCCAGTAATTGCAGGCCCATATAATCAGTACCCATCTTCCACAACCCAATCTATTGCAATTCAATCAACTCGACTTCAACCTCGTTGATTCGACTAGTCCTATCGCCAGCGCCACATACACTAAGCTAGCAACCATCAATCGTCCACATCCATCACCTGCAATCCAAACTTCCATGCCACATCAATCGTCGACATACGCTACCACATCAATCGCCTACAGCCAAAACCACCAATTTTAGCCACCATCCTCCACCATCTCTGAATCCAGCTGCAAAATCCAACGTCGGAAACCCTATATCCCTGAGTTAGTCACACCCACCAGCAGCCTCCATCATCACAATCCAATTCGTCGCCTTCTTCAACCCATTCTACATCAAATCGCGCCACTGCCACTGCCACTGCCCCTGCTCAATCCAGCCTAACAAATTACCCAACACACTCAATCCCCAATTTTCCACAGGGCTAGAGATAAAAGTCAGCACTTAGTCTTTTAGATTGAGCTATGCTCTAGTTAATAATATGGGCTTGGAACCTCACGCACGGCGCCTCCGTTTATCCAGTCGAATGCCCTATTGGATTCTCGATTTTTAACCTTCGTCTTTACCTTTGCATTTGTTCGACCACTACTCTATTGGAAAAGAAGGGTCATAATACACATCAACACAATACAGCTATAAACAAATCTAACAAAAAAGGCCTAGTACTCATAATCCAAAATTCAAGTGGCCCACTTCCTAAAATTCATACGGTCCTTCTAAGTTCGGTTTTATTTATCACAGCCCCTTTCGTAATTTTAAGAAGTCCCGTTTGTCTATTAGATTAGTGAAAAAAAAATAAAGAGAGAAAAAAAATAAAGAAAGAAAAAAAAAAGAAAAGAAAAAGGAAAAGAAGTGAAAAAAGAAAAAAAAAAAATTAGCTCAGGTCATGTTGCTTGCTCTATCATTAAAAAATGAAAAAAAAAAAAAAAAAAAAAAAAAAAAAAGAATTATTAACAGGTGATCTTTTATTTCTGTGATATTTCCTCGGACGATTCAGTAACATTTTGCCACAATAGTCGTGCTAACGTGAAAACCATAAATGAGATGACATTTGACTCTTTTGAGTTTCGTCGGTTATCAATTTCTTTCGCATTGAAAGTTTTGCTTTTTATTTAGGTATGTTGGGCTATCGCTTAAAAAGGATAAAAATTTGTTATGGCATGAATATCAAACGTTAGGAGTCCAATTATTAACAAATGGACGAAAAACTCTTCAATTTTCGCTGTCTTCTAATGAACTCCTATTGTTATTTGAACACACTGAGCATTTGCTTTGACGAGTGGAACGATTGCCTTCTGTTTCCCCGCTCACCTCCATTAATAATACAATAAGCAGGGAATTGATTTCAAATAAGCTATTAAGACATCCTGAATTTGCTATACAAGTGACAATTTTTTCTTGCCTTGTGAAATATTCTGCTCTACCACACCCAATCCCCCATTTTTGTGATGAAATAATGCAAGATATCTTTCCTTTGATTATATCATCATTTGCATATCTCACGAGCACATCTATTAATTTGTATGCTACGGCAGTTAGGATACTAGATATAATGGCTAATGCGAAATACTGTCTTATCATGTTGGACCTAGATTGTAAACGTACGATAATTGACATGTTCCAACACTTTCTTGTAGCTTTAAAAGAAAATCATCCAGGGAATGTCTTCACATCCATAGAAACTATCATGTCCGAAAGAAAGTGACAATATCCCTCTAGACTTGATTACCCTTCCAATGGATTGTGTTCAGAATAAGCATAACAAAGGTTCTCCTATAGCCTTTAATGTAGTGGAAAGACTTTTCGAAAAGTGTACTGACATAATCAAACCTTACTTGTCACAAGTTATAATATCTTTTGGGGTTTGTTTAAATGATCATAGTGCAGTTCTTTCCTCTATTTTTATAGAAGTCAAAAGTTGTGAACAATGTATCGTGTCCCCTATTTTGACCACATCTGTAGCCGATACACTTAACATTAACATAATTGAGAAAGTACCTAAAGCAATGCCATCAAAGTCAAACATTTCAGATGTCCTAGATCTTGTGCCCACTATGTTACATGGCTTTCATGAAGACTTTGTTTTAATTATTCCTCAATCACATGAGACTCCATAGGTTGCACATTGTTTTCTAAAATCATTACTCGATTGCACACTCTTCCTATTGGCATTAAGATGTTGCCCACTAATTATCGACACGCTGTGCTAGCTCATCATTATGTTGGCAATGTTTCTAAATTTCATGCAAAATTAAAAGGCCAAATCATTTCCAATCATAAAATTTTTGAATTTACTTTCGATGTGCAATACAAACTTTATTGCTAGACTCTTTGATCTGATTTCCTAAATATGTAAAGAAAAAGTTTTTGGATTACTCGTATAAAGGTTTTCCATTTGACTAGCCATCTCACTTAAATGAAAGTTACATTTTCAATGTAGAAGAATTGTTTCCTAATAAAGGCACATTCGAGCCTTCGATGTTGCAATCTTTTATCTCTACAGGCCAGTTTCCAATGCTAACTTCTTGTGCTCCTCATTATGCACAATCATGAGAAAATTTTGGAGATGAGGTACATAAGTGTTGGTTATTTGAAGTCTAGTATCACTACTTGATTAGAAGGAAAGACCGTCCCCCTTGTTCGGATTATATTATTGGGAATAAGCTGTAGTTTTCATTACTATTAATCATGGAATTTCAATACTTGGTTCGTCAAAAAGATCGTTCCCCGTGGCATGACTTAAAGCATTTTGGATATCAGATTGACGCAGTATTTTGTGATTTACCTACTCGACAAGGTCGAGTTTTCTCCCATCCCGGGAGAATCGATGAAGACATCCATTTATATTATTTTCTATTTGGAATCTTATCTATGTTTTGGACTCTTATTTATATTTATGTTATTGGACTTGTACAATGGGTTCGGCCTA